CCCCCCCGTGGCAGTAAACGCTGCTGCTCCCGGCTTCACGCACACAACCCAGCGCAGCAGATTCGAGCAACACACAAATGCAAACGCCCAGTAACATCCCAGAGACACACGTGCCCGGGCGCTGTGGGCGACGAGACATCGCTTAAAACAGGACTTTCAATGGTCCCTGTCCCTTTTCTCTCTCCCCTCCCCCCAAGTCCCTCTAAGGTCTCTGCTGAAAGCGCCCAGCTCCTGGCAGGAACCCAATTCAACCTCAGGTTGACTTCATCTTTTGTTCTCTCCCCAGAACGATTTCCACCTGCTGGGGCGCTGAGCAGGTTCCACTGAGGTTCTTCTTCCCCGAAATCTGGGAGTCCCAAAACTGGGGTGGCTTTGAGACTCCCCCAGTGGGCAGGGGTGCAGTGGGTGGAGTGGGGGCAGGGTCCGAATTTGTTAGAGGCCCCTCAGGTGACCATGAGGCAGGGGCAACCAGGACAGAGGCACCTACGTCTCCTCACTGCTGGGGGGAAACGGAAGTCCCAGAGCTGGCCAGGGCCCTGCCCCGTCCCTCCCCTGCTGACCTCTGCTCTCTGTCCTGGTCCTGCTGGTCAGGCCAGATGGCCAGCATTCAGCAAACAGTGGGACGGCAGGGAAGGGGAGACGTGACGGATGGGAAACTTCCAGACTCAAGATAAAGCCTGCTCCCCTTGGGGGTCCCCCGGTCCCTCCCTACACCTTCGTCAAGGCCCCGGGCTCAGTGCAGCTTCCAGGGGGGACGGGTGAGCCTGCACTGGCTGCTAAGCAGGAGGAAACCCACGTCCCCCCAAATTGCCTCTCTCCTGGCTGTGAGCGAGGGGGCTGCTGCTCTGACGTCACCAGAAACCGGCTCCTGTCAGGCCTCAGCAGCTATTCCTGGTCTAGAGAACACACCTCCGCCTGGTAGAAGTCTCTAGACTTCAGCAGGCTTTTTATAGATAACTCAGAAACTTGCCATGTGCCGGCAGCTGGGTAAGCACTTATTTCTTTTTCAAGAGATGCTCAGAGTCTCGGTGAGGGGCACGCCCTCCCTCCCTGGTGAACCTTGTAGATATTCTTAAGGTGACAGAAAGGATCGCGTCCCTAACTGACCCGGCCTGCCACCCTGCAATGAGGTCCCTTCCGCAATAACAGGGAACAGCGGGGTGCGTTCCGTGTTGAGCTGCCACTGAATCCTGAGCCGTTTCGGGGGTGGTCCCGACGCAGCCAGACCGCCTGGGTTCAAATCCTGCCTCTGCCTCTTGCTGGTCACGTGACTTCGGTGAAGTCCTGATGCGTCTCTGCCTCTGCGTGGGCATCTGCGAAACCAGGGCCACAATAGAGGCCCACGCAGGGGCAAGGAGAAGCGCGGGCGAGCCTCCTGAGGATCTGCGCTGCCCATGACGGAGTGAGAGGCACTCTCTGAGGGGGTACCGTCCCCCCAATTCGCCCGCAAAAAGTGGACACCCCGCCTGCAGGTTAAAGGGCTTACTCACGGAGGCAGTATTTGAACC